ACTTCTTCTTTGCTTATTACGTGTCTCAGGAAACTCATCCATTGATGAAACAATTTCTACTTCTTTGGATTCAGCTTAAAGTTATCTTTCCTTAACAAGTTCAGAATTTTTCTCAGCCCACCAAAACCATTATCTTCCCACATATGCTAATGAGCACGACGTTTCAAGGCAGTTCAGAGAAACCACATTCCATTAGTCATTGCAATTCAGCAGATGCATTACATAATCCCAACAGTAACACAACAAATTACTATAATCCATTTCCTGCAATAAAGGTTGTCTTATCTTTGCTGGCTTCATCAATGTTTGTTCTCAAAATCCAATGTTGGAAACCATTTTAATCCAGAGAGAAAATCCAAAGTAGCATAGTAAATCCTTGGCAGTGGTTAGGCATCATTCTTTGTGGCTGTTGCATCATTTCTAGTATAGTTTCAATTTTGTTTCTTGTCCGTGTTGACGTCATATTGAAGGTTAGTCAAAGTTTTATTTTATTTTAACGAAAATAATCCCGTTTCCTACATGAATATTGTTACAAAAAGAATCGTTGGGCAGATTCTTTTGGATTATTTGGTAAAAATAATACCAAGTTCAGTCCACGTAAAGACAACTAATTAATTAATTTATTTTATAATAATTGGTTCAGGCTATTTTCACTTTGAGGTAAGTTGTAGGCCTAATCTCACAAACAACGTTTTAACCGAAATATCGAGACTAAATAAACGCCTAACTTACAAATAAGGTTGCTTGCAGAATTCCCTGGCTAATATCGATTAACTTAAATTCTTAAAAGATGCGATAACTCTCGTTGCAAACACTAAACTAAATCACTCACTAAATTTCCTTTGGATTCTTCACACATTGATTACTCGTAATTATAATATACTACAGTTTCTCCAAATTTTAGGAAATATCCTGACTATTACATCATCATCTTCTCCCCCTAGCAAATATATTGTTTAATAATATTTGGAGACGCTTGAATGGGTAATGAAGAAAAACTTTAATATAAGTTTAACATAACAGCAAATGTACAACGTTTCGACATGATTATATTAAAGTTTTTCTTCATTACCCATTCAAGCCGTCTCCAAACATTATTAGTCTCAAAGTGGGTTCCTCGTCATCGAAATATATTGTTTGTAGTTAAGTACAAAGATGCACAATGGACTATATGTGCTCTGCCCATCAAGGGTATCAAAACCTTGTTTCAAGGATTGTAGGTCTGCAGACATACCGTTGTGCCACTGGGGGGGGGGGGGGGGTAGCTGGCAAATATATAGCCTACAACAATAACGTTAGATTACTTGTTCTTTATTTAGAAAAATATCGTTGACACTGAAATGATAAATTCCAGAAAGCAAGTAAGAATCATAATACAGCAGGAAGCATTAAATTCGATATAATGATGTTTTTTTATATAAAATTCGGTAACATTAAAGAATAACCTTTTAGAAGGCCTAGTCTATAATACAATTCAACCACTGTTAATGATACTATTGATAGCCAATCACATAATTTCAAAATTCAGAAATTGACTGTGTAAACTTGTATTGTAATATGTATCAAACTTAACGAAATATAGTAATGTATCATTCCAAACCTTGTTTTTTATTTTAAAATGTATGTTTTAGCCTGCGGTATAATATTGTTACGCCTCTGGTCGTTAGTTAATTTCCCGTATAATTTCTTTCCGATGAAACTTTAGCGACACAAGTCCTTTCTTAAATAAAGCTAGTTTATTCTTTCTCAATTCAACTTTGCAATACACCTAGCTGTTGGGACTTTCACGATTGGGGTTGGTAGGCGTCCATCAACATGAACCACTACTGGTTTCCTTGAGGCTGACTTATTGTTAGTATTCTTCTTACAATGGCTCCAAATATGCCCTTGCTCTCCACAGTTCCAACAACCTTTCTGGTTAGCAGCCTTTCCTGCCGTGGCATCTTTCCTGTGTTCAAGTTGCCAGCATTGAGCTCTCTTGTGCCCAAGTTTATTACAGTGACAGCAAAGTCCCTTAAACTTCTACAAAAGCTGCCCTCTTCTGGCCTTGAATCCCGATGACTGTACCAACCTTGGTACCTCTGTGCTGGACTTAACGTAATATTCAAATTCAAGAGCTCTGGCCATTGCATCCTGCATAGCAGAGGGGTGAGCTTACTTTACTTGTATCTTCAGTTGTGGACTGTCCAAGGCATCTACGAACTGATCCCTCAGCAACAACTTGAGGTGATTGGGTGGCGCAGTTGGGTAGGCCTTGTGTGCCATACTTTCCAAATCCTGTGCCAGTTCTTGCAGGCTCTCCCCTTTAGCACGGACTCTCGTCTTAAACCTAGCCCTGTAGACTTCGGACTGATTTTGAGTTCCATACCTGAGTTCTAGAGCCGCTACCAGTGCTCTATAGTTGTACCTGTCGTCTGCTGACAACTGTCCAAGTATTTCCAGTGGTTGTCCCTTCAAGATCGTTGCCAGATATACTGCTCTCTTCTCCTCTGTCCATCCATTCATCTCTGCCAGGAGCTCAAATTGTGCTCTATATGCTTCC